ACCGCAACCTCCGCCTCCTGGGTTCAGGCAATTCTCCTGCCTCAGCCTCCCGAGTAGCTGGGATTACAGGCAAGCACTACCATGCCCAGCTGATTTTTTGTATTTTTAGTAGAGACGAGTTTCACCATGTTGACCAGGATGGTCTCAATCTCTTGACCTCGTGATCCACCTGCCTCGGCCTCCCAAAGTGCTGGGATTACAGGCGTGAGCCACCGCGCCCGGCTCTGCTCCTTTTCTTTCTTTCTTTCTTTCTTTCTTTCTTTCTTTCCTTTCTTTCTCTTTCTTTCTTTTCTTTCTTTCTTTCTTCTTTCTTCTTTCTTTCTTCTCTCTCTCTTTCTTTCTTTTCTTTCTTTCCTTCCTTCCTTCCTTCTTTCTTCTTTCTTTCTTTCTTTCTTTCTTTCTTTCTTTCTTTCTTCTTTCTTCTTTCTTTCTTTCTCTTTTTTTCTTTCTTTTCTTTCTCTTTCTTTCTCTCTTTTTCTTTTCTTTTCTCTCCTCTCCTCTTCTCTCTTTCTCTTTCTCTCTTTTCTTTCTTTCTCTTTCTTTTCTTTCTTTTCCTTTTTCTTCTTTTCTCTCCTCTCCTTTCTCTCTCTTTCTCTTTCTGTCTTTCTCTCTTTCTTTCTTGTCACTTCTGCTGGACTCAAGTAATGCTCCTTCCTCAGCCTCCCAAGTAGCTCGGACCACAGTTGCATGCCACTGCACCCCGCTGATTTTCATACTTTTTGTAGAGACAGGTTTTCACCATGTTGCCCAGGCTGGCCCCAAACTCCTGGACTCAAGCAATTCTCCTGCCTCATGCTCCCAAAGTTCTGGGGTGACAGACAGGAGCCGTCACGCCTGGTCGCCTCCTTTCTTTAAAAGGGTTTAGTGATAGCAGGGATTTGGCAGTAAATGTGCCTGTAGTACTTGGAGCAGTGCCTGGTGTGTAGAAAATGGCATTGGTTTTTATTCAGACCCCTCATTTTACAGAAAAAGGAAGGACTTACCATTGCCACCCAGCTGGTTAGTGAGAGAACTGGGGGGAAAATGACTCAATCTCCAGCTTACGGAGACTGAGATTTCTTTGCAGAAATGAGAAGCCCACTCTCTTGTCCTTGCTAAATCAGTGAGGCCCACCTGCTGACTCCCAGCCCTTCAGAAAGGGCCACGTTTTAAATCACAAGACCCCACCTCAGCTGAGAAGAGCAAAACCCTTTACAAACCAGGGCAGGGCCCTTGACATCAAACTGGCAAGAAAACACGAACTCTGCCATCTGACTTTTTTCTTGGGAATCTGAATTGGGAGACCCAGAAAGGATCAGGGAACTGCAGGTGGGCAGAGACTGAAGTGTCAGGATGTCATGGAAGCCTGGCAGGCCCGGATGAGCCCATGCGGGGGGCGCTGGAGCAGGAAAGAGCTCCCAAAAAGCCTTGGCCATGGGGGAGGGGGAGACTACCCAGAGAAGGAGGAAGGAAAGGGCCCTGGGGAGTCACAGAGAGGGGTGCTCGGGGGGGAACACGGTGACTGGCAGCCCCCAGCCCCATGGGTCTCTGTTTGCACTGAGCATCTGGGGCTTCCCAGGAGAGCCCTGGGACTTCCCTTGCCTCACACAGTCCCTTAAAACACAGTGCACGGCTGGGAGCGGTGGCTCACACCTGTAATCCCAGCACTTTGGGAGACCGAGGTGGGAGGATCACAAGGTCAGGAGATCAAGACCATCCTGGCTAACACGGTGAAACCACATCTCTACTAAAAATATAAAAAAATTAGCTGTTCATAGTGGCACGCTTCTGTAGTCCCAGCTACTCCAAAGGCTGAAGCATGAGAATTGCTTGAACCTGTGAGGCAGAGGTTGCAGTGAGCAGAGATCATGCCACTGCACTCCAGCCTGGGTGGCAAGAGCGAGACTCGGTTTCAAAAAAAAACACAGTGCACATACTGTGTGTGTGAGGCTGTGATGCCAGCAGCCCCACCACAGAGCCCCATGCAGCGTATCCACCCATCCCATCTGAAGCTTTGCCCTGGTTTCTCCTTTTGCTCAGGCAAGAGCCGGGGCTGGTCAGCAGCCTGTTGACCTGGCTGGTGATGAGAATCGCTGTGAAAGTGCGTCATTAGGGCAATGGGGTCAGATCAGATGGTGGGCTCTTGGAGTAGCAAGGCCATCTGCCAACGAGGGGACATTACGAGAGAGAGGGTCCCCTCCCTCCACTGCGCGGCACCCTGCCAAGGACATACTGGACCCAGAATCAGGTATGGTCAGAAGCCTAAATTCTGACTCACTGTCTTCTTCAACCCGGAAATTTTCCATCACCTTTGAGCGTGAGTCTGCTTCTTGGATTTGGGAGGCATGTTGTTTGTTTGGGTTTGCTTTTGTTATTGTTGCTGTTGGGTTTCTGTTGTTTTTTGGTTTTTTGGTTTTCCTTTTGAGACAGGGTCTCACGCTGTTGCCCAGGCTGGAGGGCAGTGGTGCGATCATGGCTCACTGCAGCCTCCCAGGGCTCAGGTGATCCTCACACCTCAGTGACCTGTGCTCCCCACCCCAAACCCCCGGTCCAAGTGGCTGTGACTACAGGTGCATGCTCCATGTCTGGTCTGTGTTTGTTGCTTTTATTTTTAGTATGTCTCTCTATGCTCTGAGCTTCCTTCTGCCTTCATCCAGCCACATCCTCAGCTGATCAAAGTTGTTTTTTTAATTCTAAACTCCTATTTTTCTAGGACCTATGGTTGGAGTGACTGTCTGAGATGCGCTGACAAGCGTATCATTATCATTACAACATAAGGTCAAAGGGAGAAAGGAGCCTTTGTTCTTCTTTGGTTCTATCACTGCTCCTTGGCAAGCCCACTGAGGCAAGGAAATAGAAGGGGGCAGGGAGGCATGGCCAGCCTGGGTGGGCAGAAAGGCACCATCAGCCCAGGGGAGCAGGGACAGGACCAGATGACTAGTGAAGGCTCCATCAGCCCAGGTGAGCCAAGGCTCAGGTCTGCACAGGACCAGCATAAAAGAATGAGTCTGGCTACACAAGAATATGCATATTTTGGCCGGGCACAGTGGCTCCTGCCTGTAATCTCAGCACTTTGAGAGGCTGAGGTAGGTGGATCATGAGGTCAGAAGTTCAAGACCAGCCTGGCTAAGATGGTGAAACCCTGTCTCTACTAAAAATGCAAAAATTAGGTGCGGTGACAGGTGCCTGTAATGCCAGTTACTCAGGAGGCTGAGGCGGGAGAATTGCTTGAACCCGGGGGGCAGAGGTTGCAGTCAGCTGAGATCACACCATTGCACTCCAGTCTGGGTGACAGAGTGAGACTCCATCTTAAAAAGAAAAAGAATATGCGTATTTTGGCTGTAAGTAACACAGACAGGCTATTGTTCTGTTTCCTGCAGGAGGGCGAGCTCTCTGGAATTCTGAAGAATGAGTCACTCTAAACAAGTAAGTTCTAGACTGTTACAGGCTCAATCCTATATAAGTACCAAGATGATTAAAACCTCGAAAGTGTACCAAACTTTTGCCTCCTTTTTAAAGAGATAAAGCTGAACAAGATTAAACTTTTCTTAATGACTGAGTCCCACTAATGTGACATCAGTTATCCTCCTGCATTGTAATATATTGATGACCGCTGGGCCTATAACATATACATGTAATTCTCCCTGCAAAAGCGACCCCCGACTGGGCAAAGTGGCTCACACCTATAATCCCAGCACTTTGGGAGGCCAAGGTGGACAGATGACCTGAGGTCAGGAGTTTGAGACCAGCCTGGCTAACATGGTGAAACTCCTCCTCTACTGAAAATACAAAAATTAGCCGGGCAGGGTGGTGGGCGCCTGTAATCCCAGCTATTTGGGAGGCTGAGGCAGGAGAATTGCTTGAACCAGGGTGGTAGAGATTGCAGTGAGCTGAGATCGCACCACTGCACTCCAGCCAGAACAACGAGAGCGAGACTCTGTCTCAAAAAAAAAAAAAAAGAAAAGAGAAAAGAAACGAGCCCTAACTATAATGATTTTGGATTTCTTTTACCAGATATTGAGAGGGGAAAGTTAGCTAGCTTACTTGATTACTAACTCTGCTCATGGGCAATATCTAGATTTTTTTTTTTTTTTTTTGAGACGGAGAATCATTGATGAACACATTGGA